GACTCAAAGTCTCAAACTTTATATTTTTTTATTAGACTTTTGTCGATTTCTGGCTAATTATGTAATGTTATTCCTCTTTGTCTGTTAGAGAGAGTAGGATAAACTCCAGCTACCTAGAAAGTCAGATAAAATAGTGGGAGAAGGAGAAAACCAGGCACTTGGCGCTTTCAAATTAATGATGAGGCCCACGCATAGTTTACAAATTAATGACCTGCCTTAATCAAAGAAAGAGATGGCCGTCGTCACCACCATCATCTTCAAAATCTATTCCGCCACTGTCCCCCATGGGGGACCTGGTCAGAGATATACCAAATACCAACTCAAACACAAGGTTTCAAACTTTTTTACATTTTCGTGTTGCAGAAGTTATCTTCTGTCTGTCTGTCTCTACAATTCTATTCTATCTCTCTGCAAAGTAATGATTTACTATTTTCTTTGTCTTCCCAAGCTAATTTCTTTCTAAATTCGTTTGGTTTTATTGTCTCTTTAGCTGTCTCACACAGGAATTTTGAAAGTATTTTACTTTTCTGTTGATAGCCTGAATGCATGCAAATTAAAGCTCCTTTCTTTTTCGATGAAAGGTTAAATTTTTATTTCTTTGGTGTGCTTGTGCAGGGAAAGTTTTTGGATGCTTCAAAACTTCCCACTTGTGTGTGATCGGAGATGCTTCAGAACTCTGCTGAATTCCGCAATCTTGGGATGTCTAAATCCAAAGTCTGGACCTTGGGAGCTGTCTTTGTCGGCTACTTCTTTCTGTCTTCACTGCTTGTTGGAGCACAAAATTACATCACTCAGCCTGATGAAGGTAGCTTTTCTGATTGAGTATGGTAGAAAATGATTTTACTGGAGCATCTGCAGCTTGCTTCAGCAGTTTTTTTTTTTTTTTCTTCAGAGAATGCTTGGAGTTTACATTGTTCCTTGAGAACAGGACTGTGTTTAAGCATATGTGTCAATACCAAGCCTAGATTTCTTAGTCTATTGAACACTGTTTTATAGCTTTGGCTCAGCTTTAGACTCCTCAATAGGAGTCATGTGGTGTAGAAACATGATTAACTCCGAATTCTTTCTTTGGATCCTTAA